TATAACTTCTACTCACAACTTGGGTCTGCTAGCAGTTTTAATTATCCAGATTCATTCTGGAAGCCAAGATGGTAAAGCAATATTTCAACAGATTTCTAGCACCCAAATAGATCTTTTAGTGACAGTAAATACCCATAACTTTCAGTTAGCAAAGAAAGAGCGTACAAGAAAGTAGTGTGGGGTACGGAGGAAGGTGTTTTTTCTTTTTTTTTTTCGAGACGGAGTCTCGCTCTGTCACCCAGGCTGGAGTCCAGTGGTGCCATCTCCGCTCACTGCAAGCTCCACCTCCTGGGTTCACGCCATTCTCCGGCCTCAGCCTCCTGAGTAGCTGGGACTACAGGCGCCCGCCACCACGCCCGGCTAATTGTTTTGTATTTTCAGTAGAGACGGGGTTTCACTGTGTTAGCCAGGATGGTTTCAATCTCCTGACCTCATGATCTGCCCGCCTTGGCCTCCCAAAGTGCTGGGATTACAGGCGTGAGCCACCGCTGCTGGCTGGAGGAAGGTATTTTTTCCAATGCCAACCCTGCAGCACCGGCAGGGCACAGGCAGCCCTAATGGTTACTGAGAGATTGTGCATAATATCTTGGTCAAGGGCACCGTGAACAGGAACCAAATCTACAACTTTCGAGATGTGCAGAAGCAGAGAAAATGCAAGCCAGAGAAGGGACATGCAGAGGAGAGGGCCATGGGAGTCTGCTGTGGAAGGTGGGAAGGAGTAGGGCAGAGAAAGCAGATGGGCAGCCACCAGGCAGGGCCACCATGGGAATACAGCAGGCAGCCCAGGGAGCAAGAACCTGGAAAGCAGTCAAGAGAGAAAACACGGGCAGCACTGCTACTTCTGGGAGGGATGGTGAGGCTGTCACTCAGACACGGAGCCACGCCCCCACAGAAAAGGCACAGGTGGAGCCTGGCCCAATCAGGATGGCAGAGGCTGCACCCACCTCTCTATACCTTTCCTGCCTCACGGTCATGCATACATTCTTCTCAACACCTTTCTTTTACCAAGCTGGTCCGAATGCCCCCGAGACCACATGTCAGGGTTTGGAGCTCTGTCTGTGTTCAAGTCTCCTGGGGTTACGGCCTAAGTCAGGCAAGAGGCGAGTCTATGGACCAGGAGCTAACACCTCTGGTGAATGAAGGGCCAAGCAGACAGGACTGAAGCCTGTGCAGGGGACGGTAGGAGGGACCCCCTGGGACCAACTCCTAGGCAGTGCTGGTGAGAGAGAAGCCCAGCAAACAGTCGAGTCCAGGCCCGGCAGAGCCTGCGGGTGGGGAGGACTGGCTTTTCCTGGAGTGGAGGTTCTGGGGAGACGGGAAAGCTGGCTGTCATCGTTGCCCTCATGACCTTATTCTAAGTGCTTACATTTGAGATGACCTTCCCGAATGGACACTGGGCTTCCTGGCCTCCATGCCTCTGGCAGGTCCTTCTGCTTGGAACATCTTTGACTTGCTTTTCCTGCCCTTTAGCTTCTAAAAAATTCCAACTGTCCTTCAAGCCACAGCTCAAGCTCCACCCCCAGCCCCCACGACCCTGTCCTTGCTCCACCACCCACAAAGTTTCTATGCCTACAACTCTCATGTCATTCCTCACATATGCCTTAACATGGTGTGAACTTGTATTTTACATAAAAAACGTCTTAAGACTCATATATACTCCAGGGATAAAAACCATGATGTAGTCTGGTGTGGTGGCTCACGCTTGTAATCCCAGCACTTTGGGAGGCCGAAGCGGGCGGATCACCTGAGGTCAGGAGTTTGAGACCAGCCTGGCCAACATGGTGAAACCCCGTCTCTACTAAAAATACAAAAAATTACCCGGGCGTGGTGGCGGGCGGCTGTAATCCCAGCTACCCTGGAGGCTGAGGCAGGAGAATTGCTTGAACCCGGGAGGCAGAGGTTGCAGTCAGTCGAGATCATGCTACTGAACTCCAGTCTGGGCAACAGAGCAAGACTCCATCTCAAAAACAAAACAAAAACAAAAACAAAAAACAAAAAACCATGACGTACTCAGATCCAGAATTAATTAAAATGTGTGCAGATGTTTTTGGTTCTGCAGCAGGCTTCGTGCCTGTCTTCCTCTGCCTGCTAACCTGCAGCCCTGCTTTGGCTGGGGCCATCTTCCTCAACTGGATGTCTTTTGCAACCTGGCCCGGAAAAGTTGATGTCCTGAGCTTGCTGAATTAAACCCATCCCTAGGATCAGGGGAGGAGTGAATGAGAATACTTCTCAGTATCCACTTCAATTTAAATTGTTCCACACAGGTTTAGTGCCCTACAAATTCCCTTGGCAAGAGGTTTTCAATAGTTAGAATCTTTTAGTAGAAGTAATCGTCCACTGTGTCAAGAACCATGTGAGGCGTCTTCAGATTTGACAACGGCTGTGTTTCCAAGGGACACCCCTTCAGAGTTTCATGCTGGACAAATGACATAGGCCCAGGGGCAATGAACGAAGAAATTCAGGCATAAAAGGCGCTCTGATAGTAATCCAAAGCCCTGTGTCTGGGGTTCATCTTAGAATTTAACCAATGGATATATGAAGAACATACTGGCACTGTACTAAATCACTTTTCTGAGGTTTCAGTGTACTGGATGTTGAATGTTCCAAACGTGGCCATCACTAATGGTTCCTGAGGTATTCTCGTTTTAATGACATAAGGCATCTTATAAGGTCTTTCCCTCGGGGTCCTTGGTGGACTTGTTGCTAAGAATGCAGTGTTTTAGACACAAGATGTCTTAAGGCTCTTGTGTGTCCCAGGGATAAAAACTATGACGTACTCATAACCAAACTTAATTAAAATGCCCTCAAATTTAATTTTGTAGCAAACAGTCCAGTTCATTCATAGTCCTCTAACCCTAACTGCTCAAAAGGGTTATTGTAGAAACTCTAAGGGGAAAGAAAACAAAAACAAAAACCTAGCTCGGTCAAGAGCTTGGATTGTCTACAGGCCAAGTTTCGCAAGATTTGTGAAAGGAGCTTGCCAGAGGTGCCTCTGAGGAAACCATGGGCTTCTGTGTGGCCAGAGCAGGGTGAGGGGAGCCTGTCTTCCCAGCATGAGTAGGGCTGCTGGGGGCTCTAAGGAGTGAGGTCTCAGTATCCAGTGGGAGAATGCACTCCAAGGTCCTCACGACAGGCAGGACCGTCTTGGTCCTGGGCACTGGAAGTCACTAGGCATTGGACTGCCCACCCTGGGCACAGATGGAAACCAGACAAAACCAAACTGGGAACCTGAGTTTGGATAAGTCTTTAAAAATCGCCCCGTCCGGCCGGGCATGGTGGCTCAATGCCTGTAATCCCAGCACTTTGGGAGGCCAAGGCGGGCAGATCACGAGGTCAGGAGATTGAGACCATCCTGGTTAACACGGTGAAATCCTGTCTCTACCGAAAATACAAAAATTAGCCAGGCGCGGTGGTGGGCGCCTGTAGTCCCAGCTACTCGGGAGGCTGAGGCAGGAGAATGGCGTGAACCCGGAAGGCGGAGCTTGCAGTGAGCCGAGATCGTGCCACTGCACTCCAGCCTGGGCAACAGAGCGAGACTCCGTCTCAAAAAAAAAACAAAAAACAAAAAACAAAAAATCGCGCGGTCCAAACTCATCATTTATAGAGGGGGTTAAAAGGCCAAACAGGTTAGCTCTCGTGTGTAAAGTTAGAAGCAGAACAAGACGAGAATCCAGAACTCTTATTACTAAGACAATGAGAGCAAGAACAGTAATAAGCTTTCTAAGCTTACTACGTACCTAGCCGCTTCATATAATTTTACTTAATCCTCACAGTTACAAAATACGAGGCAAGGAAAATCCAGTCCCAAAGGAAAGACGCTGAAGCGAAATTGTTCTAGAGTTCTTTCCCCTGTGCTAAGTTTCATTTTAACAGACAAAAGGGAGAATGTGGCCATTTCGGTTCCTGGACATACACAGATGCCAGTGAAAGACCCCCTCTTCAGTGTCAGCCCCTAGGCTTAAAGCAGTAAACTGTTTACACAAATGGCTGCAGCCCATTCCCTTCCTGGACCCACGGCCTGTGCACCATGACTTAGCAGCAACTACCATAAAGAGGCAGAAGCAACGTCTGTGCTCCCTGAACCTGGGCTGGCCTTGTAATCTAACCGAGCAAACGCAATGGAACAGGCATCACAGCACTTCTGAGCTTAGGCCCTAAGGGGCCTTGCACGCTCCCATTTGTTTTTTTTGGAAGCCCGCCAGCTGTCACGTGAACAAGCCCAGGCCAGCCTGATGGAGGTGACAGACTACATGGGTCACAGCCAAACCAGCCCCATTGTCCCAGCTCAGGTCCCACGGATGTCAGTGAGTTCAGCCAAAACTGGCCAAGTCCGGGCCGGAGTAGCACAACCATCCTGCTACTCCGTGGCCTAAGCAGTGACAAATGGTCACTATTATTTTAAGCCACGAAGTTTTGGGTGGTTTGTTATGTAGCCAAAGCAAACTAATACAGCCCTTAATCAAACCATCACGTGCTGGTGAAGCCTGCTCTCCTCAACCCGGCTTTCTATGTGAGGAGCAGTACCACCCATCTACCCATCCATCTCATCTATTTTATTTATTTTGAGACAGGGTTTCACTACGTTGCCCAGGCTGGGTTTGAACTCCGGGGTTCAGGCGATTCTCCTGCCTCAGCCTCCTGAGGAGTGGGGACTACAGGTGAGTGCCACCACACCTGGTTATATTCCTTTTTAATCCTGGAACACAGAGGGCTGATCCAAGTCCCAGAGGGAGATTGGGATAAAAAGGTCAAAATGTGTTTGTCAGTTTTTTGCCAGACTGGTGATGGTCCCAAGGTGGCCACTCACATTTCCCATGCCTACCCCTGCCTCACCAGGACACCTCACAGTCTTTAAGGCCCCAGAGAACCTCCCATCTATGTGTAAGGACCCGCAGAAGGGCAGGGGTCATGATGCGCAGAACACATAGCTGAGGCACACGCTACCAAGGAATGGCCCTGTTCACGTGTTTCCAAGTAAAGAACAGCAGGGAGCAACTCACCGAGGGCACAGGCAAGCTGCCATGCCGGCTGAGAAAGGAGTTAGAGACGGACACACTGAGGCCCTGAGCGGCACTGCCGTCCTCGGGGGTGAAGGCCACTTTAGTTTGCTGGACACAGTAGGAGACAGAGGAGAAGGAAGAAGCAGCACAGGAGGCCTGCTGGACAGAGGGGAGGAGAGAGAAGGCAGGGAAGGAGGGAGAGAAGCAGAGAACAGTCAGGTCCGTGCAGGGAAAGGCCTTGGAGGTCGCTCTCCATATCCTCTCAGAGACATTCTGGAGAGGGACGGCTTCTAGTCCCAGTTCAGGGACTAAAACCAGCTGCCGAAGGCTATCTGCAGGAAAGGGCACCCTCCTTCACTTCCTTACTCCAGATCCTAAAATTTGTGCCCACTGGAAGCAGGTCGGGTGGAAGGAGGACGAGGTGGCTGGAGCCACACAGACCTGGGCTGACTCCGGGCTTGGAGCTGCTCCTCTGTGGGGAGTGGATCCATGTGTCATTAACACGTCTTCAAAACTCAGATGGGGCTCCGGCTGCCTGGGTTTGAGTCTGGATCCTGCCATTTCTCACGGGTTTGGTCTTGGGCACTACTTAAAGGTCTCTGTGCCTCAGGTTTTCCGTCTGTAAAATGGGGAGAACCCTGGCGCCTCCTGTACAGGGCTGTTGGGAGGATGAAATGGGATGATATGTGTGAAGCACCTGGAATCTTGCTTATCACACTGTATGTGGGCCAACAGGCGTGTGTAATGAGCACCATTTTTGTCTGTGAAGTGTGGATAACGCTTCCTGCATCTGCATTTGAGAGGGTGCGACCAGCAGCTGGCAGGACTTGTCAGGTGGTATGCCTGGGTTGTCATTAGGATTGGGCCTGGCTCCCAGGTCTTCTGTTTCTAGCTGTGGGCTTGGATTAAGGTTTGCTGGCTCTGTCAGCCTCAATTTACTTACAATGGGGATGCCAGGAGCTGTGGCAGGGACCATGTAGAGCCAGATGAGACCCCCGGTGCTTACCTGGGGAGGTGTTCAACACAGATGTTCCTAACAGGCCTCCAGGGGCTGAGCTCACCACTGCCCTGCAGGCATGGTGGAACAGGTTCTGATTCCCCTCACTCACTAGGGGTGTCTCCCCAAATATTCAGAAGCCTGTGGACTCCACAGTATGGAGAAGATGCCCAAGGATGGCCAATGGGCCAAAAATATTTTCAGTAAATATGGCTCAGCAATGGCTGTTTTTTTTTGAGACAGGGTCTCCAGGCTGGTCTTGAACTTCTGGGATCAAGTGATCCTCCACCTCAGCCTCCCAAGTAGCCGGAACTATAGGCATGTGCCACCACCACTCCTGGGTCTCGGCAATGGTTCTAACCAAACATTTTAGGCAAGGGGTCTCTAAATGAGGCATTTATGTTTCCAAGGTGGGACCCTTTTTGAAACATCTTCAAAGCAATTGAGACGCATATTCTCAATTGTGCCTGTGGGGTGGGCAGGGCAGGTGAGGATCTGAGACCCTGAAAATGGCACATGTGACACGGCTAACGAGTGGCAGGACTGGAATTCAGGACTCTCAACTCCAAGCTTGGCCTTTCCTCTACTGGACATGGCCTTCTCTGAAGGGGCTGAGTGTGGTTTTTGAGTGGGAACAAAACAGCTTGCTTGGTCAGCCAGAGCCCACTGAGTATAGGAAGCTCAGGGACTCCTGGGACTGGGCTGAGCCCCAGGTGATTATATGGAGTAATCCAGAGACATTTGTCCTCCAGTCTGCAGCTGCCTCCCAGAAGAATCAGACGGCCCTTCATGTCCTCTCACAATGGATAAAAGATGGCCCAGTGCACACTAGTCGCCTCCTGGTAGAAGCCACCAGACTGGCCAGCACACGAGCACAGCAAGCCAGGCAGCTCTGAACAAGCCTGGAGCTTCCTGTTGGGGAGCTTCCTCTTCCTGGGGAGCATGGCTGGACAAGAGGCTCAGATCCTCAAACCCAACTAGGGCCCTCCATGTTCATTAACTGGCAGCAAAGGGAGAAAGTTTGGAGGGATGCCACAGGCACCCCCAATGTGCCTACCTGCCCAATGCCTGGGCAGTTCCGGAGCCTCATGGAGTGCCCACGGTGGAACAGCCTGCCTTCTGTGCTGACCCGTGCTTCCTTATGTGCACGGGAGTCCTCAGCACAGGAGTGTTTTCTAGAAGAGGAAGGTGCCGTGTCTGAAACAGAGTGGCTCTGTTTAAAGCCATCCTCTGCTTCAATGGCGCTTGTTTCCCTTGGGCCCTCCCCGGCCAAGGCTGGGTTGTAAGTCACTCTACACAGTTAGGCCCATTATGCCAATCAAGTCCACAGATGGCCATGCACAGACCATGTCCTGTGCTTTGACTGAGTCCCTCCCTTCTGGGAGGTCTATGTTGAAGCCAAAGAAGACAGAAAAAAAATACAAGAGACTGTCAGCAGAGAGAGCAAACACCCTGAGTACAAGCCTGTCCCTGCTGCGTGGGCCTGCTGTGGAAAAGAAAGGTCCCTGCACCCCAGGGTGGGGAGGTGGTGGAGCGGGCACTGGGCTGCTGGTGAGCATCTCAGGAGGAAGTAAAAGCATCTGTGTGGGAGATGGTGCCTTCCACACCCAAAACCGGGGCCCTGCCACGGCACGGAGGAGGCTCGTTCTGGTTCCTAGAGACCTGCTAGGATCGGAAGTTCTAGTCACAAGGGAGGGTGTCACTCACCAGCTGCCGCTGCTTGGGGGGTAGGGCGGGCGGCGGGGCCAGCTCCTGCACAGAGTCCACCCCGCTGAAGGAGTCGCTGAAGCCGTATACCTCCATGAGGAGCTTGTTCTTCTGCTGGTAGATGTGCTCGTTCTGCGGCGTCTGGTAGAACATGGAGGGCTGTGGCTCCGAGTAGTCCTCCAGCAGCTGCATGTAGGCCAGCACTGTGAAACGGAGGGACAGAGCTGCAGCAAGGCTGGGGGCTGCTACATCAGGGAACCCCTCCCCACATTCTTCCCACAGCAGCTAGGGGGCTTTCCAGCGAAAGCACCTCAGGGAGGGACGAACAGAGGCGGAGCGCAGAGGCCTTTTTGGGCAGTGAAATCACACCCTGTCTTGATGCGCTAACGGAGGAGACACGTCCAGATTAGCAGACGCGCAACACCAATGGGGAACCCTAATGTGAACTCAGGACTCAAGCGACGGACTCAAGGGATGGCAAGTCTCAGCCACCTCCTGAGCAGGCACTTTCCCCTCAGGGCACGTCACAAGTGCCACGGGCACCTGCCAGGTGGAGCCGAGATTCAGATACCAAGAAAAAGTGGTGGCTCTGCAGTGCTAAATTTTGTATCTTCAAATAAGCACAAAGCCAGAGGCTTTTCTGCAAACCTCAACTAGTCAACAAATCAAGGAAGGCCAGACACTGAGCTGAGGAAGAGTCACAGAGGTAGGGAGTTTATTTCTTCCCTGAGCTGCACTGGGGGTCCAGGTATACAGGAAATGCTCTCTCTCCAGGAGTGTCACTGAAGGAAAGGGTTCAAAGTCACCTTCTTTATTTAAAAGATTATGTAAGAATTTCTTACTAGCTCCAACGAGCACAGAGCAGAACTTGGTTGGAAAAGATGCACAGGAAGAGATGGTTCCCCCCTGAGGTCAGCTGCTGCTACTGAAAGGGCAGCTCGCAGCCCCTTGAGCTTGTCTTACACTTCCTTTTTTTTTTTTTGAGACTGAGTTTCACTCGTCGTCCAGGAATGGTGTGATCTCGGCTCACTGCAACCTCCACCTCGTGGGTTTTAAGCCATCCTCCTGACTCAGTCTCCCAAGTAGCTGGGATTACAGGCGTGGACCACCACGTCCAGCTAATTTTTGTATTTTCAGTAGAGATAGGGTTGTGCCATGTTGGTCTGGCTGGTCTCAAACTCCTGACCTCAGGTGATCCACCTGGCTCGGTCTCCCAAAGTGACGGGATTACAGGCGTGAGCCACTGCGCCTAGCCCCACACTTCCTCTTTAATGCTGCACAGCCATCGTCACCAGGCTCCAGAGGAAGAGGCAAGCCTAGGAAGGTGATCCCAAGCACCCACAAACTGCTCCCTAAAAAGACTAAACGTGGCCGGGCACAGTGGCTCATGCCTATAATCCCAGTGCTTTGGGAGGCTGAGGCAGGAGGGTCACTTGAGGCTAGTTCGACACCAGCCTGGGCAACAGAGTGAGACTCCCATCTCTAAAAAGAAAAAAGAAAAGAAAAAAATTAGCAATGGTGGTATGTGCCTATGGTCCCAGCTATTCAAGAGGCTGAGGTGGGAGGATCCCTTGAACCCAGTTCAAGGCTGCAGTGAACTATGGAAAAAAGAAAAAGACTAAACACAAACACCTCTGCCTGACTTTTCTGTGAAACTGTGATCTCTTCAGGAGGTCTTTCTGAACTCTTGATGATGAAGCCCTTGTAGAGACCTGCTAGCCAAGCATAGGGAATAGCAGTGACATTCTCAGCCTTCTAGAAATGAGGAGGACCCGGTCCATTTCAAAAGCAGCCCAGTGGCAGCCCAGAGGCCAGGCAGCCAGCACTGCTGGGAAGGCTCAGCCGCCAGTGCTCAGGGCCTGGGACTGTGGGGATTTCAGGTGCCGGACAGTGATCACAAGGCTCGTCTGGTGCAAGGGACCCATGGGGTTGCCCCTGGCAAGAGGGGCTGGGGACCCTCATGATATCAGTGCATCCCAAATGATGAGGATACGTTGTGACATCGGGACTGAGCGTGTGTGAACTCAGGCCAGTGTCAGCCATGCGGCCAGGGTGATGATTCTTTCCTTCTTTCCCTCAAAGCAATTTTGAGGCATTTTCCACAAGGTCACCTGAGGGTCCCCTCGGGGAGTGAAGAGCAGACTGGGGACTAGGACTGAGGCTCAGGGTACCTAAGTTTGGGGCTCTTTCACAGAGTATGGAGAAGACCACCCCCTGCATAGGGGTCAACACTGAAAACTGGATGGGATCTCAAGGAAAGAGGGCTGAATCCCTTCCTCCTCGGCTTGGGAGGAAGTGTAACAGGCTTGGTCAACTCAGGTCAGGCTCTCAGTCCCAGATCCGTGCCCCACTTGCTTGTTGATCTTGGGCAATACTCAGTTCTTCTAAGCTCCAGTTTCTCTACCTATGAAACTGGAGCTAATAGGGCCTGCCTTGCAGGTGGCTGTCATGATGACCTTCGACAGGGCGTGTGAAGCTTTAGCTCAGGGCACGCCATGGCTGCAGCTCAGGAGTTTTTTAGAGGTTTGCAGGCTCCAGTGCTGGAGACACTGATGAATGGGTTAAAGCCTCAAAATGGTGGCCTAAATTACTGGGGATTTTCAGCCACTTGAGACTGTTTGAAAGGAAACACTGGCTACCCCTCCCTTTCCTTCTCCCCTCTACAGACCCTGCATGAGGACCGCCGCCCACACTTGTTCTAGGAGCTGGAAGGGTAAGGCTCTCTGGCGTCTGCTGCAGTTTGTAAGGATGCCATCCTGCCCAGTGTCTGAGCTCAGAGGACCCCTCCCCTAGGGAAGGAAAGGGGGTGAGCCTGAGTGGCATGTAGCCCAAGATAACAGGGGTGGAGGGGGAGGCCAACGACTCTTTCAACACTTGTCCACGCAGAGGGAGGGGAAGAGAAGGAAATGCTTCTGGCACTGCCATTGCACACCCCTCTGCGGGAGCCCTGGTTTCTGATGAGCGAATATACACGACAGATGGGGATGACATCATTAGTCCCACAGAGCCAGCTCTCCCTCTAGCTGGGGGACCACTGCTGAGGCCATCACACAAGCTGGGCAACACCCACTGAGGAGCTGGGGATACATGACACCATCTCAGCCGCAGCCTTCTGGAGACCATGCAGCCGGCCCTCAGGGCGATCCTTGCTGGATTGAACCAAGCCAGGTCTTCCCTTCTTTGAGAATAGGGCCCAGCTCTAAGCTGGGCTCAGATGCTCTCATTTGGGAATTTGGAGTAGAGATTCCATTTCTAGTTCATAGAAGTTCTCTGTTGGATATGTCAACTGAGGCCAGGGAAGCCTGAGGCTGTGGGGCTAACGTGACCACACACATTGAAATGGTGACAGCTGCGCTGCCAAGAAAATCGAAGCAGAACTATGCTAGTGAAGTGGGGAGAGGGCAGGGACAGAGAGGGCCAGGCAACTCCCAGAAGTGTGGGGCAGTTAGGGGAGCTAGGAGAAAACAATTTCCAGGAGAACTCTCCTTATTACTTTTATGGCAGATTTACAGTTGGAAAATATTCAAAACTTCAGCTTCACCCCTGGGCTCCAGTAACATCATATATTAAAATATTTGGTCCAAGAAGTGTCCTCAATTACTCCTGCTGGGCAACCTCAGCTCCCACGTCATTCTGGGAGCATGAACAGAGACAGCATGCTCTAGACAGGATCCTTAGACAATCACTCTGTGGGTACTAGGTAAGTTCTGCTGAAATTCAAATATCCACCTCGCTCTACGCAGATGTTGCTGCAATGCTGTCCTGCATGCCAGGACACTTGTTCCCCTCTGTCACTGTGATCAGGCCAGAAGGTCAACTGCTGCCATCTAAAGAGGAGAAGCCCTCGGGCTACGTGGAGAACCGGCCTGAGACTGTACGGAAACTGTAAAGGAGAGATCAGCTGATCAGGCTTTAAAAACGATCACCTGTAATGAGAAAACCTGGCTCCCAGGAGTGTCCACATACCTGGCTGGCCTATCTTTTATGAAATAATGAGGCCACTGATTTGCTTCTGGTCTAATGCTGAAAGAAAACACACTGCCATTTCAGGTTATAAAATGCACTTCCTGACAACAGTGCAACAAAAGCTTACTGTGTTTGTTTTTCTTCTCTGGTAGAGGAGGTGGTTTTTCTGGGTCACCCGTTGATTCAGGAGCAGTAAAATCACCCACAAATTCGACAGGGGCTGAGGAACCTCCATGCTGAAAGGGGAGAATAGCAGCAAAGGGTGCGTAGGGGACGGACTGGATTGGGGCCGTGCTCTGCAGGTCCTCCCCAGAGATGTTGTCGTACTGCGAGGGATGCCGCTCGTAGGACACCCTGCAGCCAGAGCTGTCCGCCGTCTGGGAGGCTGCACTCCTGCGCTTCTTCTCGGGGAGAGCAGGCGGCGTAACTGTCTGCTGCCCTGGGGCCAGAGGTCCGTCTGGCTGGGGATGGCTGCCAAGAGGCAGCTGGAAAGGATGGCCAACAAATGGAGACCCAGACTCCCCCAAAGACTCTGGCAACGGGCTAAGGTTCCAGGCCGTCTGCTGAGGTATCTGGTCTGCGTTAGAGAGGTCTTGCTGGAGGAATTCATAGTCGGGATCATAGTGGTCTGCAGTTACAACAGGGAAAAAAAAGACCCGTTAGCCAGAGGCCCTGCAGGAGCAGCCAGCCCCCGCTGCCCACCTCTCGCCGGCTTGCTCACGGGTGTGTGACAAAGACATGTCTCCAGGGTTTCCTTTATATTTACATGTTATATTCTTCATTCTCCCTGATTATAAAAGCAAACCAGATGGGAATATGGCTGTTTGCTATACTTTTCTCATTTTTTAATTTCTTACTTAAAAAAAAGAAAAATACACAACCATTACAGAAACCGTGGCAAATTACATCAAGAAAATAAAAATCACCCACAACCCCGTAATCTAACTGTATTTTCTATTTACATTTTGATGTATTTCCTTAAATGCCTTTTTTGCCTCTAGGATTCCTTTTTGAAAAAGTCCAGCTGCGGGCCGCGCGGTGGCTCACGCCTATAATTCCAGCACTTTGCGAGGCCGAGGCAGGCCGATCACTTGAGGTCAGGAGTTCAAGACCAGCCTGGCCAATGCAGCGAAACCCCGTCTCCACTAAAAATACAAAAATTGGCTGGGCGTAGTGGCTCACGACTGTAATCCCAGCACTTATTGAGGCTGATGTGGGCTGATCACTAGAGGCCAGGAGTTCAAGACCAGCCTGGCCAATGTGATGAAACCATTTTCTCTACTAAAAATACGAAAATTGGCTGGGCGCGGTGGCCCACGCCTGTAATCCCAGCACTTTGGGAGGCTGAGGCGGGCGGATCACCTGAGGTCAGGAGTTCAAGACCAGCCTGGCCAACATGGTGAAACCCCGCCTCTACTAAAAATACAAAAAAATTACCCAGACGTGGTGGTGCACACCTGTAGTCCCAGCTACTTGGGAGGCTGAGGCAGGAGAATCACTTGAACCTGGGAGGCAGAGGTTGCAGTAAGCCCAGTGTCACTGCACTCCAGCCTGGGTGACAGAGTGAGGCTCTGTCTCAAAAAAAAAAATTGAGAATACTATGAAAATATGTAAATGGCCCTGTACTTTTTCCAGTTATCAATATATTATGAGCAATTTTTAATAGCTACAGATTATTCCAGCAAATGAATGTACCATCATTCACCTGATTTCCTACCAATGAAATCTTGCTATTAATCGCTGATTATGCTCCTAGGATACATTCTCAGAAGTGAAAATATCTAGTTCACAGGATACAAACAGCTTCCTGCTCTCTAAGCCCCCTGCCCAGCAGACGGGAGGGGCCCGCGCAGCACACATTCAGCGCTGACTAACGAGAAGGCTGGCTCGTGTGGCTCCTTCCCCTTCAGCCTCTGTCAAGTGTTGTCAGGACCCCCACCCCTTCATTTAAAGCTCTCAACACAAATGGCTCTTAATTTTGGTAAAGAGAGTCAAATTACCCACTGACAGATGAACTAACAACAGTTACCGCTTGAATATCTAGGCTGTGGTTTTAGGTTGTGATTTCATTTACATGCTCAACTTCCTAGGGAGGCAGATACTGTTATCCTTATTTTGCAGATGAGGAAGCTGAGGCTCAGATTTTAAGCAAGTTGGCCAAAGTCACGTAGTCAATGATCGCATGACCTGGGACTCCCACCCAGGACTGTATGGCCCCAGAGAAGCCACCAAGACAGGATGGAACAGGAGGATGCTGGCGGCTCACCTAGTGTTTCACAGCTTGTGTTCCGGGAGCACTGCCCACTGTCCCTGTCCAGAGAGGACAGCTGCTCGTCTGACTTGCTGAGCTTGCCTATGCTGCTGCAGGGGGAGAGGCGGGGCGACTCTCCACCATATGAGTGGCTGCCTCCTGACAGTCGCCTCTGTGCATAACAGTCAACGTCAAAATCCTCAAACGGAAAAAGAAAAACAAAGCCAAGTCACTTCTGAGAAACGGTGGCAGAGACCAGGGGTGAGGCAACCGGTGCATTTACTTAGAGAAGGAAATACTGCCAGGCAAACTCAAAAACCACCTCTGACGTCAGCAACTGAAGGACACATACAGCAGAGAAGCAGCCGTCTGGAGTTGGTGGGGGGTGTGACCAGGGAGGGCTCTGGGGCTGGGCTCACCTATCCCCAGGAGACGCCCTTTGGCTCTGGCCTCCCTGCCCTGACCCTTATCCCCATATGGGAATTTGGATCATGTCCTGGAATGGGAGGGATGGGTACAAGGTCTCACATCCCTCGATGTGACAAAACACCAGCGACTGAAGACCATGGGTTTCTTTCAGCTTCAGGAGCAAATCCCTGAGCCCCCCACCCCCTCCCTGCCTTCCCAAGAAGTGAACGCGAGCTGCATTACCTGCCTATTGATTCCAACAGGCAAACTGGAGCCACTGGTGGCTCGGCTCATGGGGGCCACCACAGCCACTCGGGTAGGGGACGGTGCCGACTGTCTTTTCTTGGGTGGCAATGCTGGTGGAGGACTGAAACAGACCGAAATGTCCAGGCAGACCAAACCACACTCACCAAAGCTCTTCAGCGTGATATTGGGGTACAGGATGTGGGGCTCTTTCATTACTAGACTCTCCACACCCAGTGTTCACACTTCAACTCCTGCCTACTCCCCTCCGCCAAAATAAAACCTGTAAATACCAAATGAACGAAAAAGAACAACCCTTTCTTTTTCTTTCATAATAAATCATACCAGGTCTCCCTGGGCTGAGGGCACAAGGAGGCCTTCAGGAGAGCTCGGGGTGGCCAGAGAGGGCTGGGCGGGGTGGGGACAGCTCCAGAGTCAGCCTCCCAAGGGGGGCCAAGCCCCCAGCACTGAGGGGAAAGGGCCCGAGCCCTGCCTTCCTCCCTTTCTTGCTCATTCTGCCATGGGAGGCACTGGACAAACAGGAAGGTAATTACCTATTATCAACCACCCGAATGCCAGGCAGAGGGGGCTTGGGGGGCGCGACCTCTTCATCTGTGGCGTCTGGGAGGAGCTCAGTTGACTGTGACATCCCGGTCGTCTTGTTTAGGATTTCTACCTCGCGGTCTGTCAGGGGGAGCTCTGCTGGGCTGCAGAATTGGGAAGAACTTGGGGTTACAGAAGGTCAAAGACGGGAGGAGCACATACAGGCCCTGAGAGGGTGAGGATGTGACTGGGTAGAACATGGTGGGTGAGGTGGGGCTGAGGAGCCAGCTCCCTGGATACAGAGCCCTGGGGTTCTGGTTTGGTTGCTAAGGAGCTACTGAAGCTTGGCTGTGCCCCCAACTTTGCACCTCAGTTTCCTCATCTGAAGATGATCTAAGGGCTCTCTAAAATGCTCCAGGCCGGGCACAGTGGTTCACACCTATAATCAGGCCAAGGCGGCAAATCACTTGAGGTTAGGAGTTTGAGACCAGCTTGGCCAACATGGAATACAAAAATTAGCCGAGCGTGGTGGCGTGCACCTGTAGTCCCAGCTACTTGAAAGGCTGAGGCAGGAGAATCACTCTAACCTGAGAGGAGGAGGTTGCAATGAGCCCAGATCGTACCACTGGACTCCAGCCTGAGCAACAGAGACTCATCTCAAAAACAAAACAAAGGTCCAAATTTATGTTTTATATTTTTACCAGGAGCTTGGAGTAGAGATGAATATAAACCCTTACAACCATCGATGTCATCCTCAGTTTACTCTGGATTAAGCAAGAGTGCGCTCAAGTCAAATCCCCCAAACCCAAGCCCTTAAAAGTTCTTTGTAATTATGAAACGAAGATGCCCAGGAAAAGCACTGGTATGTGCCACTGGATGCGCTCACACATGATCCTTGGAAACAGTCACGCTGGAGAGTAAACTTGAGATGGGCAATACTTCAAGCCTGTGTGAAATACACACACAATGCTAACCACTGAAAAAGTAATATGGGCCTCCAGCAGCCCACCCTCATGCTGCCCACCCCCCAGGCCCTATCCTCGTCAAATGTAGAGACTTTGCCACTGAGTGTGACCCCCGCGACAGGAGGGTTAATCAGCACCTACCCATCAGGCTTGCCAGCAGGGGAACTGGGCTTCACGGGGCTTGTTGGAGACGGACGTCCCTGCTTCTCGACGGTGAGCCTGACCAGCTCCTACCCCCACAAGAAAAAGGCAATGAGCAAAGCTCCCGTCACCACTGAGTTTCCACAAGAAGGCAGGCAGGTGCGGTCTGTCCTCTGCTGCTGAGTCTCATTTCTGTGCCTACAGATTCTCCACGCACCATAAACGCAAGAATCACTTGCCTTAGGTAATCTGCATGACTTCCCAAATGTCCCCGGCCCTCCAAAAATACCTTCATGGCATGTCAAGAAGTTTCAAATGCGTAAAGGCACTTCCTCTTGGAAGGGGAAATGGCAAACCCCAGAGTCTCAAAATGATTGTTTATCACACAAATTAAAATACCCGGCAGAACAGATTCCCAGTCAGTTTGTTGGGGAATGACTCTGTTTCTAGTTCTCTAAAGTCATTAGATCGTGTGGCACTGGGTGGCTTCCCAAGGCGAGCTGGCCACAGGTGTGGTGGAGCAGCTAGCTGGTGGGGGTGGGTGGGGGCTGGTTGGGATCCTTGTCAATGGAGAAGGAGTTAAGGGGAGATAACCCAGTAAAAAAATCACTTTAGAACCATTAACTGAGAAAAAAGAAAAGAAAAATAGCCTTTTTCAAATCATAGCAAAAGAAAAAAAAAGGGAAGACCTAAGGGCCCATGTGGTTTTTAAAAAAAGATTAGAATGCATTTTCTCCCAGTTTGATGAGTTTTGACAACCGTATATACCCAAGTAAGTGCCACTAAAAACACAAAGAACATTTCCAGCCAATCTGCCCTGCCCCAACCGTTTTTGAACTTCTATTATCATAGATTACTTTTGCCTGTCCTAGAACTTTATATAAATGCAACCATATCATATATACACTTTTGTGTCCACTTTCTTTTTAAAAACAGCTTTATGGATATATAATTCATATGCCATCAAATTCACCCATTTAAAGTGTACAATTCAGTGGTTTTTAGTCTGTTCACAGAGTTGTGTGACCATCAGTACAATCAATTTTAGGAATTCTCATCACCCCAAAAGGAAACTCCACATTCCCCTCGACCCCCAGCCCCTGGCAGCCACCAATCCACTTCCTGTCCACACATCTTTGCCTGCTCCGTCCCCCAAGCTCAGTGTCAACAGCTGTGCTTCGTGTGCGCGAGGCGCCTGCTGCTTGCTGCCAGCAGTGTTCCCATGAGTGGATGCATCACAACTTCTCCCCCCGCCTTCCTGTCGATGGACATCTGGCCAGGGCCTACGTGTTTCAGCACGAAGCTGTTTCCAAGTTATAGAGGAGGTGGCAGCGGATGCCAGTGGGCAACACAGTAACCAGAGACCCTGAACCAGTGGCTGCCAAGCCTCTCCAGACTCAAAAACACCACACACAAAAACGGCAGTATATGCTGCAAATAAGTCAGAGTCAGTTACCATCCTTCCCAGTGCAAGGGTTCTTTCGAAAACACAAAAACTAGAAGGTGAACACGCCAAAAAAAAAATCAAACAAGTAAGTCACAGATACCAATGGTCAATAATCGTAAGACATTCATCACTTTGGATGGTAATAAAATAGAAACTTCCAGATATAGTAGGTGGGAGCACTGCTTCAGACAGCCTCTCTAGAGGTATGACTTATCAGTATATATCAAAAGCCTTAAACATTTGCATTATGAGAATTTTGCACCAGGTGCAGTGGCTCATGCCTATAATCCTAGCACTTTGGGAGGCTGAGGCAGAAGGATGGCTTGAGCCCAGGGGTTCAAGGCTGCAGTGAACTGTAATCACACTCCAGCCTAGGTGAGAGATTAAGACTCCGTCTCTTAAAAAAAGAATCTTGCCCAAGAAAAATGTCATGAATGTGTGCAAAAATTAAACCACAAAAGATGGTCATCACAGAGTATACATAAGATTGTGGCCGGGCGCGGTGGCTCAAGCCTGTAATCCCAGCACTTTGGGAGGCCGAGACGGGCGGATCACGAGGTCAGGAGATCGAGACCATCCTGGCTAACACGGTGAAACCCCGTCTCTACTAAAAAATACAAAAAACTAGCCGGGCGAGGTGGCGGGCGCCTGCAGTCCCAGCTACTCGGGAGGCTGAGGCAGGAGAATGGCGGGAACCAGGGAGGCGGAGCTTGCAGTGAGCTGAGATCCGGCCACTGCACTCCAGCCTGGGCGACAGAGCGAGACTCTGTCTCAAAAAAAAAAAAAAAAAAAAAAAAAAAAAGATTGTGTATCATTAATGTGATAATTTTGAATAGTTCAATATCCCACAATTAAATATTTGATAATATATACTGATTACATAAGTCATGATAGAACCAGACAATGGGCCAACCATTACATTGTTATTAAAAACAAAGTCACAACAAGAATATGCGCTGTATCATGGAAAGACGCTATAATACATTAAGTGGAAAAATAGTTCTAGGTGATATGCTGGTATATATTGCACGTTTTGTAAACAAAGCCAAATCAAGAATATATATAATACAAAAAATATGGCTATGAAACACCCCTTTATTTTGTTCTTTTTCTATTTTCTAAATTTTCTGAAATGAACATATATTACTTCCGAAATAATAATTAAACAAGCAAACCACCCCCCAAAACTAAATGCATCTATCAAACTCTTGGGCTTAAGTGATCCTCCTGTTTTGGCCTCCCAAAGTGTTGGGATTACAGGTGTGAGCCACCATGCCCAGCCAGGCATATCCACAGACACAGGTTCAGTGTTACCCTACTCTGTGACAGTTGTTACCCCATTCAGACGTCTATTCTTGAAGAACTGTGGAGAAGCAAAATCTCTAAGAGCCAAGTACTAGCAAGAAAGGAGAACCTTAATACTTAGATGTTAGCATAATTTAGAAGTTAATATTTAAGGAGCAGTCATCTAGCTGGTGATTGATTACAAACAGGACAAGATAGAGGACGAGAGACTACACAATCAGGGAAGAGAGCAATTAGGACTGATGCAGCTCCCCTGCACCCTATCACCTGGAGGAGCGGGGATGGTGGGAGACGCAGCTCTTCCTAAAAGCACAACGCCAGGCCCCAAAGAAGAGCATCACGGCCTTAGAGGGAGTTAAAGAGCACCAGAACACAGTGCCCTGGACACCCCACTTTCAGATTCACTCTTCTTTACAAGCAGGGCAAAAGGAAGAGAAAGAAGTCTGTGTTGTTTGCATCTGTTGATACAGGAAAACATTCCCGACTCTTCATTGATTCATGAGCAATTATAATTAGATCGTCATCTTTCTGGAGAGGCAGCTGTAAACTCAACTAATGAACGATGGCAAAAGAATCCTGGAATGACAGGCACACATGTGCAGGCAGGCGCCCGAATTCAAAGATGATGTCACAATCCCAATCATGCTCCCTACACTAGCTCGCATGGCCTAGGCTTGAAAAGAGTATAAAAGGGGGCGGGCTGCTTTTTAAATTTACCACCTATCTCCCTGCCTAGACAGAAGGTCTTTAGTCTTGACTTGCCTTAACTATCACAGAAGAGAAACCCTAAAATGTGCACATATCTAGCTACTGTGCTAACACCCTAATCTCACTGAAAGCTGACCATTTATAACTTGCATGAGCCCAATACCTCCTACTGAAGGTAGAATTTTTTTTGAGAGGGATGTCAGACTTTTTAATTGTCCTGAGGCACAAGTTAGAAAAGACTGAAAGGACCAGGCGCGGTGGCTCACTCCTGTCATCCCAGCACTTTGGGAGGCCGAGGTGGGTGGATCACGTGTAGGTCAGGAGATCGAGAGCACGGTGAAACCCCGCCGCTACTAAAAATACAAAAAATTAGCCGGGTGCGGTGGCGGGTGCCTGTAGTCCCAGCTACTCGGGAGGCTGAGGCAGGAGAATGGTGTGAACCCGGAAGGCAGAGCTTGCAATGAGCCGAGACGGCACCACTGCACTCTAGCCTGGGCAACAGAGCAAGACTCCGTCTCAAAGAAAAAAAAAAAAAAAGACTGACACAAAGGCCAGGTGTGGTTGCTCATGCCTGTGATCCTAGCACTTTGGGAGGCCGAGATGAGTGAATCACTCGAGCCCAGGAGTTCAAAACCAGCCTGGGCAACATGGTAAAACCCTGTCTTTACCAAAAAAAAAAAAAAAAAATTAGTTGGACGTGGTGGTATGCACCTGTGGTCCCAGCTACTCAGGAGGCTGAGAATGGAGGATCGCTTGAATCCAGAAGGTGGAGGTTGCAGTGAGCACAGTTTGTGCCATTGTTGCACTCCAGCCTGGGCGATAGAGTGAGACTGTCTTGGGGAGGAAAAAAAGAAAAAAAAAGACTCTAAGAGACTACTCTAGAGTCTATGTCTACAACAGTGACTGGAAACTGCCGACTGGTCGCTGAAAATCGGTTTTCAAAAGTCAAAAACGGTATTTGGAAAAGTAGCTCTCCAAATATGTAATACTTTACTTCCATGTTCATTTTATTCATATTGAAAATGATTATAGGCCGGGCACAGTGGCTCACGCCTGTCATCCCGGCACTTTGGGGGGCCTACGCGAGCGGATCACTGGAGGTCAGGAGTTCAAGACCAGCCTGGCCAACATGGTGAAACCTTGTCTCTACTAAAGATAAAAAAATTAGCCGGGCGTGGTGGTGGGTGCCTGTAATCCCAGCTACTGTAATCTCCTGCTGAGGCAGGAGAATCACTTGAACCCTAGAGGTGGAGGTTGCAGCGAGCTGAGATCACACCTGGGCAACAAGAGTGAGATTCCGTCTCAAAAAAAAAAAAAAAAAAAAAAGAGAAAGAAAATAATCACAGAGAAGGAAGGGCTTAAATGACCTTTGACAAGTCAAAATACAGCTCTGGTGCTCAAGTAAGAGAGGAAATTAACTGGTCAAGTTGGAAAGAGGTGGGGTACCGATTTCAAAAGGTCATGCTGGGATATCTCTTTGACCTTGAGTGGCTCAGCCCCCCAACATCCAGGTGCTAGACTGGGTGTGGTTTTCAGAGAAAAACATTGAGGGTCTTTAAATTCCTCAGATTTCCTTCCTTCAAGAGTCATAACCACCTCTGAGCTACAGGCTCCCGGTGGAAAAGCGGCCCCAGAACCAGACGAGGTGACAGGGGTCTATCTCTTACCTGAGATTATAAGACTACCTGAAGAGAGCCACAATCACCATCAAAAATGGTCCCCGTGAGCCATTAGAAATGCACACTTCTCCAAGCAACACTGTTTCCCCACTGCCTCCTGGTTACCTAGTTCTTACCAGGTACTTTATATACTTTATCTTACTGAATCTCTCCTCAAATCTTCAGGGCAAATATTTTAAAACCTACTTGTAACTCAGGGAAGTAACTTGCCCAAGGTTATACAGCTTGAACAAGTGGCATTTATGTGGAGGTTTAAATGATAAACGCTACTACCCATTCAGGGGCAAAACCAAAGTAATCCTGTTTTATAACACATGTTCAATCATTCAAAAAAAAGAGGAAAGACTCCCTTGAACAACTGAATGGGTTGCGTAAACGATGGTGAGTCAGTGTAAAGCAGCGTCCAGCCCCTCCTCCAGTGGGCTGTCGACATCCTCATGAGTGCGTTCCCCTCTGCACAGCTCCAGCCCCTCCCAGCTGCGGGAGGCTCTCTCATGCCACCAGGGCATGGGCTTGTACGGTGTCCCAGGCCTGAAGGGTCCGTGAGAGACGCTGGAAGTCACAGTTGACTTGTAGGTGGGAGTGCAGAGAATCCTGTCCTCCCGTGGGAGGTAGCTCAGATGACATGGTGCACAGGAACCGGGGAGGGGGCAGCGGGTTGGGGTGGGAATCATGCCCTTGCCACTGACTCTACTGCTCCACCTGGGCCTGAGTCTCCACACCTGTGAAAGGGGTAAGGGGCAGTCATTCATGCCCACTATGGAGGGTTGTCATGAGTATTAAGTGAGGATGATGTACAAAAAGCACCCAATAAATGTTAGCTATTATTACTATTAGACAATAACAAGAAATGCCAACATCATAGTGTCGCGATCACTCTCATTGCCTGTAATGACTCCAGCATGAAAAGCTCCCAGCCACAGGCAGCTCCTGTCCATCCTCCAGATGCTGGCCTGTCTCTTCCTTGGGGAAGCGTCTCTCATCACCCTGAGAAAGGAAGGTCATCATACCCTTTCATCGCACCCTGTGCCATCTCCCTTGGCAGTGCTATACCACATGGGTGTGCCTTTGTGTTTATGGTCCTGTCCTCCTTAGACTTTAAGTGCCATAGGGCAGGGTCTGGGCCAGCTTTGCTCATATTCCCAATTCTCTCTCACTGCCTGGCACACAGAAGGTTCTCACTAAATGCTTCTTGAATAAATGAAACAAAAGTGAATTTGTAAAGCTTCTCACCTAGAGAATCTTTGTTCTGACTGAACTATTTTTAAAGCAACTGTGGAAAAGTTATTTGCTCTGACATTGCCAGGTTCATAATCTATAGGTTTCTCTCTCTTGTCTTTTTGTCCCAGTCACTTTGAAAAATCAAGGACATTTTTCTTTCAGACATGCCTTTCAACTAATGAAGTGGTGCTGTAACGACTCCACAGAGGAAATGTACTTGGGACTGTCACAAAGCTTTATGAGTGGAAACTCGCTCTCCTCCGTTTTGGCTACTCTAACTTGTGAACATCTCATCAGAATCAATTTGATAGAAGGAAACCTTAATAATGTTACCTGAAAAACAACAATTTTCAATAATAGCATTTTCAGAAGCCTGGACAGGAACAGCAGGGATGGGTGAGCCAGAGTGACTTGGGGCTGCTGATAAAGCCCCAGGCCATGTCCCACTCTGCCCTGCTGAACCCAATGTGCTACCATGAGGACCAGACAGGATAATGTACGTGCCTGTCCTCCAAATCCTGGAAAGGGCCATCGGGTCTGATCACAACAGCCACCCTGGGCTACATCCTTGAGTCTCGCTGCCCTAAGCAGATACTAGTAACTTTTTGGAATGAAGGGAACACGGGCAGGCTGGGTGCAGTGGCTCAGGCCTGTAATCCCAACACTTTGGGAGGCCGAGGTGGGCGGATCACCTGAGGTCAGGAGTTCCAGACCAGCCTGGCCAACATGGTGAAACCCCATCTCTACTAAAAATACAAAATTAGCTGGGTGTGGTGGCTCACACCTGTAATCCCAGCATCTCGGGAGGCTGAGGCAGGAGAATCACTTGAACCTGGGAGGCAGAGGTTGCAGTGAGCCAAGATTGCACCACTGCACTCCAGCCTGCGTGACAGAGTGAGACTCCATCTCAAAGAAAAAAAAAAGGAGAACATGGGGGAATTCAGAGGAAAATACTGACGTCATCGGCAAGCCCCCTTTACTTGAACTCCATGACCCCAGCAGACACATCAGCCTCCCCTTAAATGCTGCTGGGGGTGGAGGGCCACCCAGATGTCCTGGCAAACACACATTTCATTCTGGAGCAATTTTCAATGCTGAGCAATGCTTTCTCAGCCTCTCTCTGTAATTTAAGCCCTTTGGGGGTCCTTATTCTACTCTCCAGAGCTGCTGGGGAATGTTAAGCCAAGGAGACAGCTTTCAGGAATTTGTTAGCCTGGCTGAGTGGGAAGGAATTTTTTTTGACCTGGGGTAAATACCTCAGCTATAATTGTAGGCTGAGGGGTCCAGAAAAGAGAGGGACGCAGGTTTTTCAAGCCAAGAGATCTGTTTACAAAGCAAGCATCTAGCACCACATAATTAATAATAAATAGCAGCTAAGGCCTGACTGCTCCGTATGCGCCAGGTGCTGTTCTAGAAGCATTATGTGTATTGACCAGTGTAATTTTTCCTATAACCCTGCGATGTACGATGCTATCATTACCCCTATTTTATAAATGAGTTACTTAAGGTGCACAGCAGTTGAGTAAATTGTTCAAGTTCATAGACTAGCAACTGATGAACTTGGGATTCAAATCTATCCAGGTGCTAAGGCTGGCCCCCTTTCTACTACATTATACGGCCTCACACAACAGCGGGGTTTCCACTGTCCTGCTGCCTGCAGCCCTGGCCCTGACCCAAAGGCCCTTACCTGGTTCATGTCCAACATTCTGTCTTGCTCCCCATCTATTAGGACTTATTTTCTCTATTAGGATTTGTCCCCCTGACCCCAATTCCAGACCCTCTATGGCCTTTGCTTCCCATCTTAACTAGGATTCATAATTTCTTATGCCGTTTCTGACTTCTCTGGAGAGCAAATACACAGACCACATCATGGATGTCAAGTAAATATAGAAAGTTCCATTTCTTACTCAACTCACTCCTGCTTTTCTACCAAGAATCCTAGAAGTTCCCAGAATATGAAAAGGTAGCGCTGACATGACGTGCTGGGAGCTTTGCTTAAAGTCATTGTGAAAACGATCTCCATTGCATTTTGTCTAGCTGGTACGCATGCTCAGCCAGCACGATGCTACGAAGGCTCACTGAAGATTTAATGCAATGCTCAGTAAGGACTGACTGCTCTGGGCAGCTTTTCCATAAGAGCCATTTGCACCAGTCCTGAGAGAAGTAAGTAGTTATGGGATACAGCACACCAACACCAGAGACGCAGAAAGACATTCTAATGTTTGAAGGTTGGGAGCAAGATCTTATGTGACAAGCACCAGCAGGCAGGCTGCTCTTAAGTCCCTGACCGGGACTGTCTGGAACCTGCACCGGTACCTTCACTCCATCCAGCACGGCCTTGATGACCCCCTTCACCGTCGTCACCATCTCCTTGTCTTCTGAGTTCACACCTTCCAGCATCACTTGGTCAGACCAGCGAATGAGGTTGGCGAGACTTTGGTACACTCGGCTATAGCAGGAAGACAGGGCTGAGCTACAGGGAAGAGAAAAATGGAAAAAAAAGAAAACCTAAAGCATGACCATCACTTAGCACAGAACCAGCTTCTCGGTGACGAGGGTGTGTTTCTCCATCTTTCTTTGTGCAAAATCCACACCATCTTTTAATAAGCAAACTTCTCCCATGAGCCTTTTTCCTTACATTCAACAAAGATTTTGTGGAGCTTTATATTCTAATCTGTGTTTCAAAATTTTTTCATTTCCAAAATGGAACATTACAAAAATTCTACCACGATAGTTAAGATGCTTTTTCGAACTTCACATCCTTCTACAAGATTCTGATCATATGTCTCGAGGAGTGCCCCATCTCCCCCTCCTTCTAGCTGCTAATCACTAGACCAGGTCCAGGGAGTGTATACTGACTGTCAGCAATTAGAATAAAATCTATTTTAGATGTGCCACAAGGAGCCGACAGGTTTGCAGGATTTTAACAGTCATGAGCTCAAAACAGGTCTGCAGTTTATTAGAACTCCTCCGTCAGGGGGCCAGCTTCATCATCCTCTGCACTATAACCATGAGACAGACGTCAGAAGCGCATGAATGAAGACTATTTTGAGAATAGTAAATCGGGGTGACGGGGCCTGTGATGGTGGTGGGGATGTGAAGGTGGGAATGTAGGTGAGTGTGTATGTGTGTGTGTCTGTGTGTGTCGCACCACGCTACCAGTTATACCGTGATGCCAGCGCCCACGAACAGAAGCCCTGAGTGCCTCAGTGATTGTAGTGTAGCAGCCGAATGGAGGTGTTTACATCTTTCACATATTTTTAAATAACTAATTTCCCTAGGATTTGTGGAAAGGATTATTTTTCCATTTCAAACAATTGTAACAGAGGAAGAGCAACAATATAGAAAATTTATGTGCTGAAACCTCTAGTCCAAAAAAAAAAAAAAAAACAACAACAACCACCAAAATGATGCAGACATTTAGGAGCCAAAGATGTAACTTTGAGGAAAATACTTAATATTGTAAGATATGATTTAAACAGGTTCTAAAACCAAAGCCATTTAAAACAAAAATGCGAACCAAATAGTGCTTTAATGAGAAGCTCTTCAGAATCAGGTAAGGAGGAAACAATTATTGCAAGGGATCTAAAGTTTCCATTTAGCCAGGCGTTCCACTCTGCATGTTCCAACAGAAGAAAAGCAAACTTTCTTTTTCTTTTGAAAAGAATGAAAGCAAACTTATCAAGTCCATTAGAAACAAACAAACAAAATTCCCAAAGGAGCCCCCGAGAAAGCCAGGATTGGGCTACTTTAGAAGACGATATGGATGGAAAGTATTTGTTGTTGGAACTACTCTCATAGGAAAGGATGGAGAGGGGAAAACAAAGACCCTGCAGTCTCTCCTGGGGTTTCGGACCAGACCTGATCTCATCCTGCAGGAGAATGTGCTTCTAACGGCTGGGCTGGACCTCGCTCTGCTTCCTGGCAAGGCCAGGTGAGGCCTCTTGACAGAAGCCTGTGGCCTTCCCGAGGTGCTGCTGGAGGATTCCACCGGAGAAAGCATCTCACTGTTACACTGCCGGTAACAGTGAGGTGAAAGAGGGGAAACACTTTTATTCACTACTTCCTTTCTGCCTGCATTGGATGCTAACGCTTCCCTGAAGGTGCTGGAAATGTCCAGCCTTCCTGTCATTAGCTTGGAAGCAGAAGATTCCTGTGTCAAGGGGCTAAGACATAAGAAAGGAAGGAGAGTTGAGGACTATAAAAATGCCATCTGAGGCCCAGCTGCTGGCTCATTTCCACCATGGAGCAAAGCCCTCCGCGTGTGACGAGTGTAACTGTTGCTCTCACATGGGCCTCCGGGTGCCTCACTCGGGAATCCTCCATTCACAGCTCATGCTAAGAGCCAGCTGCTTGTTGGAGGCCAGCTTATCACCATCCCAGGAACTGAGGTGAGGGCAGCAAAGGGCCTGCTTGCAAGGACCCGCCTCGCAGAAGAAACGGGAAAGGACCTTCCAGCTCGCAAACTGCCCTTAGGGAGGAAAGAGATAATGCAAAGCATCTAAAAGGAGCATCTGAGGAGGTATTTCCAATCACTGCGGGAGACCAAAAACCACCTCCACTAGCCTGGAAGAATTTCAGAAGGAAAACCCCTTCAATGGGATTAGTCAGAGGACTACCAGAAAACAAACCATATTTCATGGGTCCTTACAGCCACACCCAGGCACTTCCCATTTTCTCCTCTAAGAAATGGTTATAGACATTCAATGTCAATTCAGAGCCACCCCTCAACAGACACAAAATACCCCCAGCCATTACCATGTGACTTGATCAATTCTTACCCAGAGTATGCAAGTGACCTCCAAGCAGCGCCCTGGATCCGGGAAGCAAGACTCCTAGCAGCACCACACTCTGGGTGTGAGGGTCCAGGGGACACTATCCCGGACTCTCCCAAGGAGGCTTAGCGCCTGAGGGCGCAGGGTGAAGTGATCACTCCCCTCTTCCCACTGTTCCCCTCTCGTCCACGCCCTAGGACGGATACCCTCTGCCCATGACTGCCCGAGTCGCTGCCCTCCCCTCCCTGGGACACACCAGGCCCAGCGGCCTCAGTTCCTTTGCTCTTGTTCTCCTGCCCCCACTGCTAATCCAACTGCTGCTTTCCCTCAGGTCGGGCTCCGAGAACTACCCAGTCGAGGTTTCATCAGATCAAGTCCAACACCCGTGTAGCTCTCCTTTCTTCAAACTCCAACAGAGCTTCCTCTCTGTACCATAAAACAAGGGCTGTATCATAGAACCGAGGGAGCTGATTTGTTTCAACTAGGCTTTAACTCTTCCAAGGCAGAGACTACCACATGAGACTAGGTCCACAAGAACATGTTCTAAAAGGGCATCCATACATCTGACTGTGGCATGATGTCACCATTCACTCCCAGGAGCCCAGCACTGAACCCTTCTATGAGCTGAAGCTGGATTGACTCTGGGAAAGACAGAGTGAAGACAAGCATGTCCTGCTTCCTCCCCGTCACCAACCAGTGCCAGCGAGCTTCTGGCCAGAAGACCACAATCTCCACGGGTCAGCTGAAACTCCAGGGTGGAAGCCCCAGGGCAGAGAGTTTCTTGTAAATAAAGACACTGTTTGCTTTATCCCCGAGAAGAAGAAAACTATGAACTGCATTGCCAAGTTCTGAAAGCAGTTCATAAAAGCTTAGTCTCACGGGGCTAAATGAACACTAAGCCATCTTGGGGAACTGTGACAGAAAAGCATTTATCCTGAACAGGTACCATGGAAGAAAAACAAAAAATGCGCCAGCCTCTTAAGAAAAAGCTCCCGCTGGCCTTTCATTTCAGATTACATTTGGTACTGCTTTTCTTTTCACATTTAACAATAAATACAGGACAAGCTGCTAACTAACCTGTAAGAGGAAAATGCACTCCAGCAATGAAAGTATTACCCAACAAAAGCTTCCTGGGGCAAAGGCTGGCTTCATGTCCCCTGCATGGAGTGCCTGTAATTTTATGTTGCCTTAGCATCTGTTTTAAAATATGTTTAGCTTTCTCGTACCAGAAGTAGGGCTCACGAACCCTTGACAAGGTTCCTAATACTACATCCCACCTGACTGGCTCTAGCCGGTGGCCAGACAGAAACTTACAGGCATCTCTGCCCGCCAGCAGGCTGGCTCCTGGCTTACCTACTGCTCCTTTAAACAGACCATTTGCCTGAGAACTTAAAGTAACCACCTCTTAGTCACAGGCTGTGCCTCCTGAACGCATGCCTGCTTGCTTTAAACCCACCAATTAAAGCTCACTGCAGGAGGTCTGTTTGGATAAGGCCCGCCCTGGACCCAATAACCTCAGTAACAGCGCTGGTCCACAGGGTCCCTTCTCTCTCTCCCAGCTTGTGCTTCTTCGCCTCCCCGTGCAGCCTCCAGGCTGCTGTGTAACCCCCAAGGTCTAAGGTACTAGAAAACTCTTAGCTTGTGAGCCTGCAGTCCAGCCCCTGACAGTGAAGCCTGCGAAGAGCCTCATGCAGGTGGAGGCCCTGCTGGTGCTCTTGAGTCCGGGCCTCGGGTGATGACTGGAAACAGTAGCTTCCAGCTGACAGATAATGAAACTCAAAAAGTTTCATTCAAAACAGGCTCCCCCCACCCGCAGTGAATCCAGGCTCCAAGTCTGGGAGGTGTCCTGGCTTGACACAGTTAAGCGCTGCGCGGCCCACGCTCTAACAGGGGCTTCCCTACCTGCCTCTCTTGGCCTAATCATCTAAGCAGCTGGACACTGATAGGACTGAGTGGACATGTTAGGTGATTGAGGGCTTCAGGAGAAATGTATCCAAACCAGTGTGACTACTGCCAATGAGCTCAGGCAAAGAAATGACCACAAACTTACACTGTGGCCACATCCCTAGGGATGGCAGAGATGTGTCCCGGGCTTCAGGAGTAATAGTGACCTCAACTCCGAGATGGCATCAAGGGACAGTTGTGGGGGGATGGGTCAGGGGACGGATGAGGGGTGATGGAGTCCTTTTCCTGACTGTTCCTAGGAACCTTGAGTTTCCAGTGCCACCAAGCCAAGATGCCTCTAAGGCTTCCATTGTTCTGACACAGCCAAGGACTTCAGAGCCACTCACCTGTGCTGAATTCGAGGATCGTTCTGCACCAGGGGTAAGATGGCCTCCAGCACCTTGCTGGCTGACCCTGGAAGCATCTCCAGTACCTTCTTATCAATTGCCATTTTGTCCACAATGGTCTTAAAGTAGCGCAGGGCACTGACAACTTCCTTCTCTTTCTCCTCCAGCCAGCTCAGGTTCTGAAAGGAGACGTTCAGCATAAGGAGGAGGAGAGAGATTAAAGGGAGCTATTTTGAAAAAATTAAAGGAACATTTTCTTTAAACCAGCTTGAGATCGATAGGAATGGAAAGGCTCTTGCTACAGAAACCAAGCCAGGTCATTTTTCTAAGGACTGTAATCAGAAGACACAGGGTAGAGCTGAAGGAAGAAGGGGGCTTGGACCAAGAAAGCTCATTCAGAAATTTCTGAATTCCCTTTCCAGATCCTGAGGTCTTGAAAACCACTTCTCCTCCTGTCTGTCCTCATCAGCCACACTGACAGACCACCACTAACCCCATTAAGTAGAGCGAGGACTAATTTGCTGATGACTTGGAGAAGCAACAGTCAAGGCCCTTGGTACATCTGTATCCTGTAAATCACATCAAGAAACTCCAGGCTTTTGTTTCAAAGATCTGAGGGACTGTGTAAGACCAGTCCGGGGCATGATGGGCTGAAACCCATTCCCTGAGGACTCCTCACTAGGTTCCCAGATTGTTCACCCCACTGAAGCCCGCACTCAAGGAAATGATATGCTATTCCTAAAGGTCCTGGAAGCTCCCAGAGCTAGAAGGGGCAGGAAGTCTGGGGAGAGAAGGCAGAGAAGCCAGAGCAGATGACACTGCTTCTCCAGATTCAATGACTACTCAAGCAGCAGGCGCCAGCAGCATTCATGCTCCCTCTGCTCCTGAGAGAAACAGAAAATACAGAGCCCTGCGCTTTCCAGTGCTTAAGCCACAACCCCAAGCTTTTCTCCCTGACCGTGGGGGGCCTTGGATCCAGTTGGTGGGTCTACACACCCCTTTCGTTCTTCTCTCCAACTTCCCCTCTACTTGCCCAGATGTCAACGATCCGGGTCTCAGCTGCGCAGGGGAAGGAGGCTGAGAGTAATCTACAGAAATGGAGTCTCTGAACCTGTTCTGGTTTGGGAGGTTGTCCTTTTTTAAAAAAAAAAAAAAAGAGTAGTCTACAGAATGGATAAATCCCAAAATGGACAGTGTACTCAAGTAGTCAATTACATGTCTAGTGCAAATTAAGAGGGCTGTGTATGAGGCAAACAGCCACCTGCAGGATCTCAGAAGTCTAGAGGATGTAAATAAAAACAACTGAGGGCAAGAAGATAATTTCTAGAAATAGGTGATTTAAACAATATAAATATACAAACAAATGGTAGAAATTAATAAAAAGTGCTTATGATTCTGAACACTAGCTCTTTTCTTCTAAAATAGTGCAGACTGGCCAGGTGAGGTGGCTCACACCTATAATCCCAGCACTCTGGGAGGCCAAGGCGGGCGGATCACTTCAGCCCAGGAGTCAAGACCAGCCTGGGCAACATAGTGAGACACTGTCTCAATTAAAAAAATAAAACAAAGTTTAAAAAAAGGTGCAGAATATCATTTTAAATATAAAACAGTTCAATAGTGGAGGCTTTTATTTCACGGGAACGTCAAAAGAAAAATCTATAAATGGCTACTTTTAGTCAGACAATGTGCAAAAGACCGGGTCATTTCTTCCATCGAGTCTTTCCCAGAAGGTGTCCCACAGACCAGAAGACACAATTCTCTGCTGGTGGGGGAAATGCCCCCTCCTCATCCCCATCCCTGGGTCCTGCACCCTGGCTTTATTCTTCTCTTTTCACTACCTGACAGATTTGTTTATGGTCTGTTTCCAAGAGGCTGGGCGCTTGCTTTTCCACCTTGTGGACCAGAGCTCTCTGCTTCATGTCATCTGCCCAGGGCAGGGAGGAACCTGAGTGTGAAGGAGTCGCAGTGCCGACAGACCTCAGATGTGCCTAAAGCCACGGTCAGCCAGGCAAGAAGAGGACTATGACAGTAACACTGTCACCTTAGCATATCAGAAAGTGTTAGAGACCACCAATGATGAAATTTGGTGAGGAACAGGAAACATTTTAAGAAAAAGTGTCATCAGGTTGCTGGGGAGAAAGTGGCTAATCTGAAGATGGGAGGCACTCGAAAGCGGCAACGCATTTCAGAGCAGAGAGTTTTTCTGCCATTGCGGAGAGATCAAATCAGCCGTTTGAGAGTCAGGCTGCTTGGCCGGGCGCGGTGGCTCAAGCCTGTAATCCCAGCACTTTGGGAGGCCGAGATGGGCGGATCACGAGGTCAGGAGATCGAGACCATCCTGGCTAACACGGTGAAACCCCGTCTCTACTAAAAAATACAAAAAACTAGCCGGGTGACGTGGCGGGCGCCTGTAGTCCCAGCTACTCGGGAGGCTGAGGCAGGAGAATGGCGTAAACCCGGAGGTGGAGCTTGCAGTGAGCTGAGATCCGGCCACTGCACTCCAGCCTGGGTGGCAGAGCGAGACTCCATCTCAAAAAAAAAAAAAAAAAAAAAAAAAAAAAAAAAAAAAAAAAAAAAAAAGGGTCAGGCTGCCCTGGGCTCCTCCTAAAGGAGCCAACAATGTAATGTAGTACAGCCAGGCTGCCTCTGAGAACTCAGATTCCATTCCCAGAATTAATGGCCTCTGAGTGTTGTACATTCTCCAGCCTTTCAGCTGTCAAGCTGGGGCTCCTTGTGAATGCAGCTGGCAGTGAGAGTTCACGGCTACACACCCACATCCAGCACTGGTTCGGACTGGGGACTCCATGTGTTGGCTTTGCTGAAGGTGCCTCGTTGCATAACCTGAGGGCAGGTGCGTTCACCTGTGCACCCCTCCTGCTGTGAGGGATGGGTTGCCATCATTGGTCCACATAAGCCTGGAAACTAAATCAGGCTGTCCGTGTCTGGGGATGGCTTAGAGACAAGGCCAACTACTGGGCTTCGGGCTTGTCATGCACAAAATGGGGAGAATAACATCTGCCCCGTGTAACTAAAGAGGTGACTGTGGCGGACTGAATGAGAATGCATATGGAAGTGGTTCACAACATTTAACAGGCACTATACCAACACCAGAGACCATATACCTGCCAGTAATAAAGCAGAGAAAGAGGGCCTAGGATGGGAACATCTGAAAGGGAAGAAACAGGCCAGATCGTAGCTGCCATTCATCGGGGACATGGAGGCACCCACTGTGCTATGGATTTCATATAGGCTATTTTGTTTGAAGGTTACAACCACCCTGTGAAGTGGAAACTATTATTTCACAGGTGGGGAAACTGAGGCTTGGTGGGGTATGGGGGAGATTAAGCAACTTGCCCAAGGCCACACAGCTGTAGTGACAGATACGGAATTTGAACTTGGTCTGTCTGAGTTCAGAGCCTGGAGAGATGGAGAGGAGAAGAAAGACCAGATCAGAAATGTGCTGAAGTTAAAAGGTTGACTTGAGATCCCCTGGTCTAAAGATCTCATTTAATAAACAAGTAAACTAAGACCCAGATGGCAGAGGTGGACAGAAAACCTCCATCGCCTTTCCTGCCCTGTGGGTCATATTCATTCCTGACGCCCAGGCTGTGGCTCCACAGATACACAGGAGACGGCGGGGAAGAGGGTGAGGAACACTGGCCCTCCTCTCCAGATACTTCTCTCCCCAGCTGTGCTGCATCCGGGATACCCCAACTTGCCCTGTCACTCCTTGTCCCATCTGCAGCCCTGGTGCCTCCCCTCTCCACAGCAACGCAAGCCTCATTTCCACACTATAGGACAGTGTACCCGGAAAATGTGGATTAAGCTGGGGAGTGAGGGGAGGGCAAGTCACAATCAGTATCACAAAAAACTGGAATTGTAGGATTTAAAAAAAAATGGCAAAGCAACATCATTCTTCTCCATTAGCCCAGGACAGTGAGGCCTAGGAAGAAGACATGGCTAACACAGACACTGGTTACAATGAGAGCACCAAATCACCACCTGCCACCAGACGGTCCGGCGGCAGCAGCTCCCTGCTTCTATTTCATCATAAGATCTGAAGAGCTGAAGGGGAAGGGCTTTCAGGAATCCACCCAAGAGCCCTGGGATCCAACTTCTGTCCAAATGCCCTCAGAGATTGGGCACTCACACCTCCCAGGACCCCCTGCTCACTGCTCATTGTAATTATACCTTTGGACTCCCAGTATGTGGCTAAACTTCCTCTACTACTTTAGCACTGCAGCTTACTGCCAGACTTGTTAAAAGGTTGCAAAAAAGTTTAGAAGCTCATCACAATGTACTTTGAATTTTAAAATTCACTAAGAAGATGCAAGAGACTGCTAATGTGGAATCAGTCTGGGAAGACAACAGAATATAGTGAGAAAAACAGATTTTGATGAAGAAAATGTGCACCGGGGCCAACACTGTCTGCACAGTGGGAATAATAAAAACTTCCCCACACAATTATGGTGAGGAGTAAATAAGACAGCATGTCTGAAACCACCCAGGACAGGGCTGGGGCAAGGAGGAGCCCTTGAGAAGTGGCAGCTAATCTGAAAATGTACTTTCATCTCCCTGCACTTCCATTTCCCTCGTATCTGAGCAGGGAAAGCCATGTATACGACCTGAAGTAAAATAAAAATGTATGTAATCGCTCCCTAAGTGGTAAGAGAGCTAATGAATAATCAACGAGGGCAGCAGATGACAGGCCCACTGCAAGGTTTCTTGGACATAATCCTCTAAGTCCACATACTCTGGCAGGTTTCTCAACGCTTCTGGTTCTGTCCATGGGCCTCCACAAAGCAACAGGTTTGCATTTACTTGTCCCATGCAGGTGGCTTGGGACAGAGCACAGTCATCCAGCCCTTCCTAATGGGAAATGATGAAAAAGGGGATAACATTCCTTCTTGAGTGAAGATTGCACCTACAGCTCCTTGCTACAGAACAGATTTCTGGCACTACTGACATTTTGGGGCAAAGAATTCTTTGTTGTATGTGGGGGCTGTCCTGTCCGGTGTATTGTAGGTTGTTTAGCAGCTTCCCAACCCCTACCCACTAGAAGCCAATAACATCTGCTTTGCCTTCCTATGGCAACAACCAAAAATGTCTCCAGACGTTGCCAAATGTCTCTTGGGGTTTACAGGCACCCCACTAAATGAGGGATATACTTTAGCACTGAATTTTTCTCCATGATCTCTCTTGGAAAAATGAACAAAGGGGAAAATCCTGGCCGGGTGCAGTGGCTCATGCCTGTAATCCCAGCACTTTGAGAGGATGAGGTGGGCAGATCACTTGAGGTCAGGAGTTTGAGACCAGCCTGGCCAACATGGCAAAACCCCGTCTCTACTAAAAATACAAAAATTAGCCAGGAGTGGTAGAGGACGCCTGTAGTCCCAGCTACATGGGAGGCTGAGGTGGGAGAACTGCTTGAGCCTGGGAGGCGGAGACTGCAGTGAGCCAAGATTGCTCCACTGCACTCCAGCCTGGGCGACAGAGACTCTTGTCTCAAAACAAACAAACAAAAAACAACAAAAACAACAACAACAAAAAGCAGGGAATCCCAGGAATTGAGTGGCTGAACAGTTTCATATCAGAGTTCACTAGCAGAATAACGTTGTTAGTAAGTGAATCATTTTACTCTGACTGCCTGGACAAGTGTTGGATGACAATTACACTCTACTTGTAGTTAATACTAACTCGGCTACAAGAGGTTACTAAACAGGTTGTAATAAAAAATAACTGTGGCACAGACCAAATCTACTGTATTATTCTTCAATCTGGAATTTAGATCAATCTGGCAAACACTGTTTCCCTCTTGCTTGTCAGCCACCTTTTGTTAAAAGAGGGGGCAAGAAAAACTATTTTTCAACAGAAGACTATTAGATTTAAAACCTTTATTTTCCTCCACTTTTAACTAAAATTTTAAGATATTCTGCTGGTCAACATAAAAATCAAAAATAGACGAATTGCTAAATTCAAGAATTATGTATTTAAGTAACAGGCTAGCTTGCACCAGCTGCATTAAACTGATGGCTGTGACTATAGTTCTGCTACATAGAAATTATACTTTGGATAAGCACTAAAGGATTAATAATATCTGTCTACAAGGTTTGTTTTATTTTACATTACTAAGTTTAGTTTTATTTTATTTATTTATTTTTTGGAGACAGAGTCTCACTCTGTTACCCAGGCTGAAGAGCAGTGACACGATCTCGGCTCACTGCAACCTCCACCGCCCGGGTTCAAATGATTCTCCTGCCTCAGCCTCCCAAGTAGCCAGGCGCCTGCCACTATGCTTCGCTTATATATATATATATTTATTTTTGTATTTTTAGTAGAGAGGGAGTTTCGTCATGTTGGCCAGGCTGGTCTTGAACTCATGACCTCAAGTGATCCACCTGCCTCAGCCTCCCAAAGTGCTGGAATTACAGGTGTGAACCAGTGTGCCCAGCCTAGTTTTATTTTTATGTAATGAGTCAGGATTAATATTTAAATTCACGAGATATTAAAAATTCTGTCTTTCATAAAGAGGAAATGTAGCATCTCGAGAATTCAGACTCTGACGTCAGACAGCCTGCATTCAAATCTTGACTTCGCCAACATTTTGCTGTGTGACTTTGGCTAAATGTTTAATATTTCTATAGATCCAGTTTCCTTTTTGGCAAAATAAGTTTCCATACATCAGGGTTGCTATGAAGATAAGTAAGAGGACACATGTAAAGCACTCAGCACTGGGCCAAGAAAAGGCTCCATAAATGTCAGGGACACAGGTGTCTGTGGCTCTGAGAGCACTTGGTCATGCGGCAGTCTCACTGCACTCCACCAGCCTTGTGAGATGGCTAAGAAAGCACTCGAAGGCTTCAGAAGCCTCTTCCCTTCTAAACTATTCAGATCATCTTAGCAATTCAAGGAACAGCTGGTCTTGAGAGATGAGACTCGCCCACATCCCCCGGAACCCGTTGGACCCAAGCAGCACACCCAAACCAACCCCAGAAAGAATCCCTGAGCTTCTGCCACAAAGCTCTCTCCAAAGATCATGGGACCTTGCATAAACTCTCACTTTTATCCAAGGTCCCTTGGACTCTTTCCTGAACAATTCAGCCCACAGTCACCACCCAGTTGAACATAATAATAGTGCAATAGATTTTTTTTCCATCCCCAAAACCATGGACCAGGATTCTGCAGTAGAAGGCAAGGCAAACCCAATTGTTCTTAATGTTACACTGACCTTCTGCCTTTGAGACCTGGAAGCCACAGCACTGGTGGACATAAATTCTACTGCCTGCTGCTCCAGATCCAAGGGGAGAGGGTAGCCCTCTGGTAGAAATCTGTCTGTTGCCTCCTGGAAGAGAGGAAACCTGGATTCCTACAGAGCTTGAAATGGCTGTTTGAGGCTGAAGGGAGGGGTTGATGAAAGTCAATAGCTGTTTCAACATATCTGGCTTGACTGGCCCTGCTGAGGCCACTAACTCTTGAGGACATCTTTGGCTGGGTCTCAAGGGGTTTGCATGTTTCAGAGCACAGGCCCTAAAGCCGAATGATGGATGTTCTGGACATCACAAAGTTCCCTGTGTTTGAGTGTGCGCCAAGGCAACGTAGGGAACTGCAGGGCAGGGAGGCAGCAGCCTGGGGTGTGGACATGATGTGCTGAGCTGTTTTAAATGCCCAGAGGATGACACAGCTAGAAAAGGAGAACTGTCCTAGCCAACTGAGCTTGGCTAACATGGCAAACACTCACCATCCTAATGGTTCTTATTTTATAAGGACACCAAAGGTCCCGCCCATGGAATGCTACAAAGTAGGTATGAATCACTGAAAGCTGAATCCCCAGGGAGGGAACATACAAATCGCACAAACTCATACTGCTTGAAGCAGGTGAGGCCAGGAGAAACACCTAGAGTCAGCTTACTTTGTTCACAGGCTTCTCTGGAATCTTTACGGACACCTCAGCTGGTTTTCCCTTCTTTGATGGCGTTCTCTTGATTTTGGGTGAGTGGAATTTGTCCATCAGCTTCATGGTGAAGGAAGAGAGATGAGAACGCTGAGAGTCTGAAAACAAAGAGGGTACTGACTGTTAGATGGGAGTGGGAAGAAGCGACAGTCCATTGACCTTTTGTGGAAATGAGCAAGGTCCCCAAACCCATCTTTTTTCTTGGCTGTTGACAGTTTCAAAGGAAAGGACGTATGGATCCATTACAAAACATTTCTGCTTACATGCTTCAATTTTTGCAGTTTTCACCAAGGAATTGTGGAAATCAAAGGCAGTCCAAATAAATATGGAAAAAGAACTTGCAAATATTCCCAAGTGTCCATAGAGAGTTTGTGTGATGATCTAACTAACATCCAAGGGAACTGGCTGAGAAGAAAGAACACCCAGTGAAATCACAGACGTGTAGGAGGTGAGAAGGGGAAAGGAAGGCCCTTTCGAATCCACCTCTTCACTCTTTAGGAAACTGCAACAAGCGACAGGTGCAAGGCTCTGGAGTTGGCAGCAGTGACTGAACGAGAAGTAAGGTGTTCAAAACCCTCTGGGCCATGGTGAAAGACTGAAGGACTTGCCCCAAAGATCAGGAATGAAGACTAGGACATCTGTTCTCGCCACTCCTATCTGACATTGAACTGGATCAGACCCAAATGTAAGAGTTACAACTGTAAACCTCTCAGGAAAAAAACAGGAGTTTTTGTGACCTTGAATTTGACCATGTTTTCTTAGATACAAAACCAAAAGCACAAGTAACAAAACTAAAAAATAGAAAATTGGACTTCACCAAAATTAACACCTTTTGCACTGCATATACTACTACTAAGAAAGTGAACAAACGCACAGGATGAAAGAAAATACAGTTATGTATTGCTCAAGGACAGGAATAAGTTCTGAGAAATGCACCATTAGGCGACTTCGTTGTGCAAATGTCATAGAGCATACTCAAAAGAACCTTGATGGGATAGCCTACTGCACACCTAGGCTATATGGAGTAATACCCATTGCTCCGAGACCACACACCTGTACAGCACGGTACTGTACTGAGTACCGCAGGCTACTGCAATACAATGGTATTTGTGTATCCAACCATATTTAAATGTAGGAAAGGTACTGTAAATGGTATAAAAGATTAAAAATTCCACCTGTGAAGGGCACTATCATTAATGGAGGCTGCAGGCCTAGAAATTGCTCTGAGTGAATCAGGGAGTAAATGTGAAGGTCTAGGACACTCCTGTACACCAGGGTAAACTTTACAACCGTGGTACATTTAACCTATACTAAATTTATTTTTAAAATGTTCTTTCATCAATAAGTTAACCTTAGCTTACTGTAACTTTTTTACTTTATAAACTTTTAATTAAAAAATTTTTATTCTTTTGTAATAGCTTAAAATATAAACACATAGTACAGCTGTACAAAGTATTTTTCTTTTGTTTTTTGAGATGGGGCCTCACTCTTTTGCTAAGACTAGAGTGCAGTGATGTGATCACGGCTCACTGCAGCCTGGAATTCCTGGGCTCAGACATCTTCCTGCCTCAGCCTCTTGAGTGGCTAGGACGATAGGCAAGTGCTGCTACAATGCCTGGCTCATTCTTAAACTTTTTGTAGTGATGAGGTCTCACTATGTTGCCCAGGTTGGCAAAAATATTTTCTTTCTTTATATCCTTATTCTTTAAGCTTTTTTCTATTTAAAAAATTATTTTTTTTACTTTTAAAACTCTTCATTAAAGACAAAGACAGACACACATTAATCAGCCTAGGTCTACAGGGGCAGGATCATCAGTATCACCATCTTCCACCTCCCCATCTTGTCCCGCTGGAAGGTCTTCAGAGTGATAACATGCATGAAGCTGTCATCTCCTATGATAACAATACCTTCTTTTATAACACCTCCCGAAGGATCTGCCTGAGGCTGTTTAACAGTTAACATTTTGTTTTTAGTAAGCAGAAGCACACTTTCAAATAATGATAAAAAGTACAGCAAATCCATAAACCAGTAACATAGTCATTTATTATCATTATCAAGTACTATGTGCCGTACATAACCAAATGCGCTATGCATTTACACCAGCATCACCATAAACACGTGAGTAATGCATTGCGTTGGATGTTATGATGGCTACATCAGGCGAGGCGACAGGAATTTTTCAGCTCCATGATAATCTTACGGGACCACAAGATTATAATGTGGTCTGCCTTATATGTGGTCTATCACTAACTGAAATGTCGTTATGCAGAGCATGACTCTATTTGAAAATCATATGAACCTTAGCATCATCAGGGGCTTGGTTCCAGGATCCCCTTCAGGCATCAAAATCCACGATGCTCAAGTCCCTTATATAAAACAGCGGAATATCTGTGTATGACGCACACACATCTTCCACATGCTTCAAATCATCTCTAGATTACTTATGATACCTAATACAATGTAAATGTTATGTAAATAGTTATACTTTATTTTACAATTTGCATTATTGTACTGTTATTTTTATTATTTTTTCCTACATATTTTTGAACCATGAAAATGGTTGAATCAGAGGCTGCAGAACCCATGGGTATGGAGGGCCAGATATACCTGATAAGGGACTTGTATACAGAAAACATTAAAAAATTCTTACAGCTCTAGAATAAAAGGCATATAACCCAATGTAAAATGGGCAAAGAATTAGAGCAGACATTCTCCAAAGAAGATATACAAATTGGCAATAAGCACATGGAAAGACGGTCAACATAATTAGCCATTAAGGAAATGTAACGCTTCACGCACACTAGATCTAATAAAAAAGACAGTATCAAGTGTTGGTGAGGACTGGAGAACTGAAAGCCCCACACATTGCTGGTAGGAATGTAACATGGTTTCCCTGCTTTGGAAAATGTCCGGCAGTTTCTCACAAGATCACAGAGTTGACATGTGACCCAGAAATTCCACTCCTGGGCACATTTGCGAGAGAAATGAAAGCCTAAATCCATGTGACTTGTACAGGTAAGTCAAAGGAAAGTTCATAGCAACATTATTCATAATAGCCAAAGGTGGGAAAAACTCAAAAATCCACATGTTTGCAAATGACTAAATAAAATGTATTACATTCATACAATGGATTATTATTTGGCAATAAAAAGAAATTAAGTACTGATCAGCTACAACACAGTTGAACCTTGAAAACATTATCTAAGCTAAAGCAGTCAGCCACAGAAGACATGTATGGTTCCATTCATTTGAAATGTCCAGAATAGGCAAATCCATAGAGACAGAAGGTAGACTGGTGGTTGCCTAAGACTGGATGGGGCGGAGAGATGGAGAGGGCTGCTGTAATCAGTATGGAGCTTTTTCTCCTGGTGTACGAAAGTGTTCTAAAATTAGAATCTGGTGATGGTGGTAGGCCCAGTGAATTACAAGGAAAAAAAAAAAAAAAGAGAACTGTACCCTTTTTGAATGAATTGTATGATATGTGAATTAAATATCAATAAAGCTATATTTTTTTAAAAAAAAAAAGGCCCACTGGCAGTCTTCCTTCATCTCAGCATTATTACAACCTGTTCCAGTGTCTGAAAACATCTTATTAATTGATTTATTTACACCTGTCTCCTCACAAGAATGCAAGTTTGGCTGGGCGCGGTGGTTCATGCCTGTAATTCCAGCACTGTGGGAGGCGGGAGGATCACTTGAGCCCAGGAGTCAGAGCCTAGGCAATAGAGTGAGACTTTGTCTACCTATTAGCTGGGCATGGTGGTGCACACTTGTAGTCCCAGCTACTCAGGAGGCTGAGGTGGGAGGACTGCTTGAGCCCAGGAGTTAAAGGCTACAGTGAGCACTGCACTCCAGCCTGGGCAACAGAGCGAGACCCTGCCTCAAAAAAAATTAAGGCTCGGGGGACAAGTTCCCTGAGGACTGCACCTGTCTTGTTCATGCCTGTTTTCCCAGTGCTGGCATGGTAGTTGGCCCACAGAAGATAATCAGTAAACACACATTCAACAAATGAAGAAATCAACCAACAACAGAAATATCCCAGGAAGAAAACTGCTTCTTTAGTAACAGCAGAAAATACCTGAAATTGGCTGAAAATTAAGGAAGAAAACACTGTCCTACGCAATGGAAAAATAAATACCTGTAGTTGTAAAAATAAAAAGAACTCCCTCTGTTAAGTTTTTCCAGCAATTTAGTACAACCAAACAAAACAGAAAACAAAACAAAACAACCCTCTGAATAAACAGCACAGCACCTTGCACTACACAGCTCTCACTGTATCTACTATTGCTGCACGTGACTTAACAAGGCCGAAGTTCAGTTCCTTTGTTAAAGACCTTCCAGGTGGCCAGGCAGGATCAGATAAACTATCTACCCTTTGCAAATTACCTAGGCACACACGGTGCTCTGGACCAAAGAGAAAAGCCAGGGCCTGACCCGCATTCACATGTGGTCAAACCAAACAGCTTCACAGCTGTGTGCTGGCCAGAGCTGCAGAAACCCCTTCTTAGTCCCCAGATGGGGACACAAGTCAACAGGAAGCTGCTGCACCTGGCTAGCTCACCTGGAACAGCTCAACAGGGTCAGGAGGCTCTCCACACCAGCCCTCATATGTCAGCAGTCATCCCTGGCATTCAAGTGAACTGGGATGGTGCGACTTGTCCCACTCCCCTCTGCCCTGCCTCTTCTCTCTCCCCACCTAAGCAGGGTGGATCCCATTTACAGTTTATAATTCCGTTTTTATACTTCAACATGGATGTGAACAGTCTAATCCTTCATGTGATGCTTAAGAGGGTGTGTACTGTTAGCCGGGCCTGTTGGTCCATGCCTGTAGTCCCAGCTACGTGGGAGGCTGAGGCAGGAGGATTGCTTGAGTCCAGGATTTTAGCACTGTAGTGTGCTATCATTGTGCCTATGAACAGCCACTGGACGCTAGCCTGGGCAACACAGCAAAAACCCATCTCTTTTAAAGGGGGGTATGCACTGGAGTCAGAATGCCTGCATTAAAATACTTAGATATCATTTCTCTAAATCTTTCCCTTTTTTGTCTGGAAAATGAGTGAGATAACATTATATTTCTTGAGATGGCTGATGTGATGT